TATTATTTTACCCAAACTACGTTAGGAAACCTATGTTATTCCTAACAAATGGCTCTGTGTAATTTGTAGTGTTTAAAACAATTGTTGAATGTTGTTTTAATATAATACTAGCAGGGTACCCGTGCTTCACTACGAAACTATGTGATCAGGCAAGTTTTGGGGGAGGAAAATAAAGGGGAAAAATTGTGCCTCTGCATACCAGCATCCATCAGTATTCATCTGGCTAGTGTCCTGTGAGTGTGTGAAAAAGTTGAGGGGTGTTTGGAAATGGAAACAGTATTTGCTGTGTGAGCAAGAAGGAGACAGCAAGGAGCCTGGGCATGGCTTAGCTGAACTGCAGTTGGAAGATATTTCTTTTCAGGTGGGGAGGGGGAGTAGAATTCCTTAGCATCAGAGTGTGTTAATAATAATATAGGAAATAATAATGTTCTGATGGTCATTTTGAAAAATCATTAGTGAGCACCTAGAAGCCAAGAGGAACATATGTGCCAAATTTCAAGTTTGTAGGCTTTACGATTCTGGAGGTTTTGTGATGACGCGTGAGTGGTATTTCACTTTTATATATATATAGATTCCACAACGGATGTCCCTCTCATTGTCTTCATCACCAACAAAGTATATCTGGAGAAATGAAGGCTGCTGCTGAGGTCCCACCATGATACTCCCTATCCTGTGGTAGATCTGCCCCTGCACTTTGAATGTTGGCATAAAATTTCCCTCCTTCACCTCTCTGGCTCCAAAAGACGTCATTTGGAAGCTTCCCGACAGCAGAAAGAACGTGGTTTGCCATTGGATGCTGGTGGGTGAGAAGGCTGTGTAAGGGTTCAGGGGAGGGCTGAAGGGGAGGGAGGTGGACTTTACCGCCACTGCAGCACATCCCGGGACTCTCATCCTGCCACTTTAAATCATGGCACCAGGCACAAGGTAGCCGAGGTCTGAGATCAACAACCTTTTCCCTGGAATAATGAATCTGAGGTTCATATTGAAAACCAGACAAATACTTATAAGTCCAAGGCATTGATCTCATTTGTGACTGATTAATGTAGGTGTTATTAGATGTGTAGTTTTTTACAGCCTGTCTACTGACTTGGGGATGAGTTTGATGACACTCCCTTACTTGTGTTTTCCTAATTGCATCTGTAAATCTTTTTCTGTGTTTTTTTGCCTCTTTTCCCTTTAACTGGTCTTACAGTAGAACAGCTGTTTGCTGCTGTGAAAGTAAAACTGAAACTGAAACTCCTCTTCCTCTGGAAGATATGTCTTTTCAGGTGGGGAGGGGGAGTAGAACTCCTTAGCATCAGAGCATGTTATTAATAATATAGGAAATACTAATGCTCTGATGGTCATTTCGAAAAATTATTTCTTAGTGAGCACCTAGAAGCCAAGAGGAACATACATGCCAAATTTCAAGTTTGTAGGCTTTACGGTTCTGGAGATTTTGTGATTCGCTTTTATATATATAGATAAAATAAAACAAGCTAGAAATGAGGATAGAAAAATTCCCTCACCCTCCCCAAAGAAACCCAAGATATATTCTAATGGTTAAGAGTCTTTTTGCCAAAAAGGCTAATAAACACACTAGCTTTTAATTGCTGTAAATCATTCTAAATCCATAAATTCTCAATCAAGTGGCTAAATTGATAGGGATGTTGGCCATTGTTAGCCCATGTGGAAAAGGACCTGAAAATATTTGTTTGATTGTGTTATGCAACAGACTTCTTTGACAGTCCACAATTACTTCAATCTTGCAGATGGAGCATTGCAACCAGGAGGATTTGGTGTCTAAGAATAGATGAAGTGGGCCATACACTTGCTAGAAAGATAAATGGGAAGGCTGTGTTTGATTTTGGGGTTCAAATCCTCTATTAATGTTGCCCAAATGTATTTGGGGACAGAGCTGCCATCAGCAAGATTCCCTCTTTGAAGGAGATGGATAGTTCAGAAATTTAAAATCATAATTAAATAAAATTATGATTGAGGTGGGCCCAAAATTGTAAATATGAAAAGTTGTTTGTATCATTGAAAGTTCTGTTATTGTGTTTTTCCTTTAAGACAAAAGATGTTAATGTATGAGTTGCTTTTTCTAAACTAAAACCTCAGTATTCAGGTTAAATTGTCATGTTGGCACTTTGTGATAAATAATTGGGTTTTGGGTTGCAGTTTGGGCACTCGGTCTCTAAAAGGTTCGCCATCACTGCCCTATACCATTCCAGATAAATGGCTGTTCAATCTCTTCTTAGAAACCTCCAGTGATGGAGCAGGCACAAGTTCTGGAGGCCAAGTTGTTCCACTGTCAGGAAATTTATCTGTAGTTCTAGTTTGGATCTTTCTTTGATCAGTTTCCATCCTTTACTTCTTGCCCTGCCTTCAAGTGCTTTGGACAGTGGTGGGATTCAAAACTTTTTACTACCGGTTCTGTGAGTGTGGCTTGGTGAGCGTGGCTTGGTAATCATGTGACCAAGTGGGTGTGGCTTGGTGGTCATGTGATTGGGTGGGCATGGCCAACTTGACATCACTCACATCAAGGCCTGGCCTGGCCTGGCCTCGCAGCCCTCAACGAGAGACTATTTCCCTGTCTATTTATTTACTACTAATGAACATCCAAAGATGAAGAGCAGCAGCAGCTATGCCAGGTGAGCGGACGAGATGAGGAGTAACTGGGCGGGGCAGGCAGGGTGGGTGGGGTCAGCCAGAATTTTTACCACTGGTTTGCTTGAATTGGCCCGAACCGGCTGAATCCCACCACTGGCTTTGGATAATAGGTCAAGCCCCTCTTCTGTCAATATTTGACAGCCCCTAAAATATTGGAAGACTGCTATCAAGTCACTCCTTGTCCTTATCTTTTTTAAACTAGACATACTTAGTTCCTCCAACCATTCATCGTATGTTTTAGCCTCCAGCCCCTTAATCATCTTTGTTGCACTTTCCTATACTCTTTCTAGAGTCTCAACATCTTTTTTGTATCATGGTAATAACAATCTGGACAAATGGCTCTTCTTAAAAACCTCAATGCTAGAGAAGGTGCAATATTGCCTCTGGGGGTTACTGCACTCTTCACACTATTTGGTCTCCTCTCTGATAGCTAGAAAACTGTGAAATTAAAGCCAAAAGGCACAATGAACATCACACACACACACACACACACACACACACACACACACGCACACAAACCTGGAACCTGCTTCTTTTGGCTTTGTTTGATTTTAATCAGAACCGCAAAATTTGAACATTTGTAAAGTCCAACAAACATTATAGCTCCTAAAGGTGACTCAAAGTGGGAGGGAGGACTTCCAGGTACCTACCTGAGATGAGGGTGAAGGTGACTGAGTAGATCCCACTGTCCTTGTGTGCCTCTCCCCCCTCAGAGTAGCTGATGTCAACTTGGAACTTGACAAGTTTTTGGAAGACAGAGGGGCCACCCGATGATTTATATTCGGCCCGGAAGCTTGTTTGGGATATAACACTGTGACTCAGGCTGGGGATCTGTAGATTAAGTGAAGGTAAGCAATGTCAAGCCATAGACATCAAATGGAAAAGATCTTCTTTTTAGTGTCTTGTTTACTCTAGCCTTCTCCACCCTTCTGCCCTCAGTATCAACAGGACCTCATCCTACCAACCAGCTTCATTTAATTTTTCAGAATCAATCTCAGCCCTGTTTTTTCCTTCCAGTTGAACCCTTACTGAGAGGAAGGCGTGTACAATATCAGCCTTGATGGAACTCAGGGGTTTGTCTTTGATGACCACAAAAATTTGTTCTTCTTTGTCTAAGTTGATAAAATTTCCAAACCAGGATTTCTTGGCAAGCCTACAATGGAAGAAAAGCAGAACAAGGAAAGCTGTTTGGAGAGAAATCTTGGAAGGAGGCTTTGCTTGTCTCCATTGAAGGTGGATCAAGGTATTTCTCCTACCATACATTGTTCAATTATAATGACACACATTCTTGTGATGTACTGTTGGTACTGTACATTCATGAGAAATCTGGATTTCCCATATTAGTCACTGCACATTAAGCACATTGATTCTTGGATAATATAATCATTTGGAAAAGCATTTGTAAGAACCATGAATGGAAGAAAAAGAAAGGCTGAATTCTCCTTCCTCTTCTTGGTCTCTTCTAATACTCACTCTGGGGATGATTCTGGTGTAAGACTAGACATTTCTTCTGGTGTGGGAACTGCAAGGAGAAAAGGAGTGAATGTTAAATAAAAACAAGCTGGTCTTGTTTCCTGCCAATTGCAACTTTTCAAAGCAGCTCATTTGCTACCAGATGCCAAGCATAAAATCAGGAAATTGCTTTTATTTTTCCATCCTTGTTTGAGGAATGATCAACAGAATAACAAAATTGGAAGGGACCTTGGAGGTTTTCTAGTCCAACCCCCTGCTCAAGCAGAAAAACCTACACTATTTCAGATGGATGGTTGTCCAATCTCTTATTTAAAATCTCCAGTGTTGCAGCATTCACAACTTCTGGAGGCAAGTTGTTCCACTGATTAATTGTTGTAACTGTCAGGAAATTTCTCCTCAGTTCTAGGTTGGTTCTCTCCTTGATTAGTTTCCAGAAATCCAGACATGCAGACAGTTTCCAGGCATCCAGACATTACAAACATAAAAAGGTCCTGGGTTCTTTTAAAAGCATTTCCAGGTAGCCCTGGGAAGACTCCCAGACTAATACAAAATTAGATATTGATATATTACAACTCTCTGAATTCTATCCCACTTGCCAGGACATTTGAGAACTTAGTTCAGCAACATCTGGAGGACCACCAAAGTTTTTCATCTCTTCCTAAAATAGTACTTGACCAGGATGGTACCTGAGCAAAATGATTATCTATTTTGGCAAAAGACAGTATCAAGGTACCACTTCCTAACTTTAAAAATTGTGTCCCTTCATTTAACACATTCTATACACACATTTTAGGCAGTCTTCATTCAAATTCTACTTCTATGTTCTTGACCGCACTTCTGACTTTCTTCTTGACTACGTACAACAATATTTCTCAACCTTGGGCATTTTAAGATGTGTGGACTTCAACTCCCAGAGTTCCCAAGCCAGCATGAAGTCCACACATTTTAAAATGGCCAAGGTTGAGAAACACTGGTCTACAGTCCTATTCAGTTCTGATGCGGCTCTTTCTCTTTATCCTCCAGCACTTCCCCAGATAGATTGCGCTGTTTGGGCATGTCTTCTACAAGTTGAGAAGTTGTGGTCCTATAATTAAACATCCATCACACTCCCATCATCTCAGGGAAAGTATAACATACCTTGAAGTTTCCGACGATGAAAGCGTGGGGAACCAAGGAAACTGTTCTTGATAGAGTTCAAGCGAGTTTTCCATGCCACGCCGACCACACCAGGACTGCTTGGGGGCGTCTCGCCGGGAGTGCTGCTGGGGCTCTCTTTAGGCATGTGCACAGGAGTACCAAGTGGAGTGGGGAGGGGGCTTCCCCGAGGGGAGGGGTGGGGAGTGACCTGCAGCACAGATTTGGGTTGGGGTTTAGTAGAGGGGAAAAAGCAATGGAGAGAGGAGGGTGGGTGAGCGGGTGGAGAGTTGGGAGGCAGAGGGAAGGGGGTGGAACATCGACTCTGGAGGGCCCCCTCCCTTGCTGGGCTGCCCTTGGCAGGAAGTGTCTGAGTCTTCACAGGGGCAGGGGGAGGTGATGGGAGAGAGAAGCTGAAGATGGAGCTCTGGGTGTGGGAAGAAATGAGAGGGGAGAAAGGTGAGGAGGGGAGAGCCGTGAGATGGGAGTGAGCAATGGCAGGTGACAACCTCATAGTCTACTCCCAAACAGAGTTTTACAACGTGGCCCAGATTTTGAGTTTCCCCTACTGTGGCTTGGACATATTACTCATTTTTTAAGGAATCAACTTGCTTCGAGCTCTTAGGAGAATATCTTTGTTCACCTACCCTGTCTTGTCCACGTCTTCATCCAGTCAATCCATGCTGTGGCAAAGACAACATCCCTGATTCCACCACAAAACTATATATGGTTGTCCCCTGAAGTAGACTTTGCCACTTAATCTTTTCTATATCACTTGTTTCCCAAACTGAGTTTGCCTTTCAACAAGACCAACCTTTTGCATCCTCTCCCAATTGGCCATTCTTCCTACAGAATGGCTACTGTCAACTCTAAACCTTTCCCAAGATAAATCTTAAAAAACTCAAACTGTTGTTAAGAGGAACTACCAACCCTAGGAGTTTCTCCATTCCACTCTTTTCTGTGTGGCTTTATTATGTGGCATTCATCAATTTGCTGGGATCTCAACTGCCAAAGATAATAAATGCTGGTAATAAAATGCACGTTTCTAATGTTTAAGTGCAGGGTGGGTACTTGATATTTTATGTCATAATTATCTGCTTTTAAATAGCACTATAGCACTTAGACTTATATACTGCTTCATAGTGCTTTAGAGCCCTCTCTAAGCAGTTTACAGAGTCAGCATATTGCCCCCAACAAACTGGGTCCTCAGTTTACCCACCTTGGAAGGATGGAAGGCTGAGTCAACCTGGAGCCAGTGAGAATTGAATTGCAGCCATCAGAAGTAGCCTGCAGTACTGCATTCTAACCACTGTACCACCACGGCTCATAAAAAGCTATGTTTTCTACGTCAGAGGTAATCAGGGTTCATCGCTGAATGCTAGCTAGTAATAAAGCTAACACCTTGGATGCTACAAGATATGACACAAAAACATGGTTGACTGTTGTACAGGTAATTCTCGACTTACAGCCATTTGTTTAGTGACTGTACAAAGTTCCAATGGCATTGAAAAAAGTGACCTTCAACCAGTCCTTGCATTTACACACAGCATCCCCAAGGTCTTGTGATCAAAATTGGCAACCAGCATGTATTTACAGCATCCTGAGGTTTTATGATTGCCATTTGTAACCTTCTCAGGTGGCTTCTGACAAGCAAAGTCAATGGGGGGAGCTGGATTCACTTAACTGCAATTATTCACTTAACAATAATGGAAGATCATAAGATTGGGTGAAACTCATTTACTTAGCAACAAAAATTTTGGTCCCAATTGTTATAAGGCGATGACTATCTGTATGCATGGATTTGGTTGCTAAATAACAGATATCTGTACATATATAGAAGACTAATACATGAGAATATTTGTAGCTCAGGGTTGAAATGAGGGAACTTTGGTGCTCTCTGAGCTTGCTTGTTTTCTTGCAGGTGTTTCATCAGTGCTGATGATGTTACCTAGTTTGGGTAATGAAATGTCTGCAAGAAAACAAGCTCAGAGAGCACCAAGGACCCCTCATATATAGAAGAAATCCACCATCCCAATGTTATCCTTATCCCAGTTAAAACAGAAGGAATACTGCCATTTGTACACCAGTACCAACAGGGCTGATCTGAATCAGGATATAGCACAAATCTGAGTGGGGAAAAAATCAGGCGAAGATGAAGTGGTTCAGGATGTATAACAATCTCAGGAGCAACTGTCAATAAGAAGAGAGATTCCAGCTCTGTCTGGAAAGGATCTGACTCAAAAGAGAAATAATCTGGAACACCTCTAAATCTGCAACAGCAAAGACATAGGCACATGGAGAGTCAAACAGAGATTCAGAATCCAGGGCAGGAAACAATGGTGATATGGGGGAAAAAAGTGAATTCCCTTCTCCTTTACATGATAGTCTTCATCTGGATCTTCCAACACTGCAACTATTAGGAACAAGTTAAAAAGAAGCATTGGGGCTAGCTGGTTGTTTACAAAGTGTCTGCAGACTATGGTTTCAAAAAGTCAAGATGGTACAATCAAAGCTCTACCTGCTTTTATTTGTAATGCACATTAAATTGCACATGAAATTTGATCACATCATTATAGTCACCACCATTTTTGACTACATCCTGCAGACATCCTTGCTTGCTCAGATTTGAGTCTACTTTCCTCAGCCTAATCCTTTCCAGGCATATGGAACTATAACTCCCAAGATCCCATTCTGGTGTAGTTCAACACCAGAAAGACTGTTATAATCTGTTCTCTTGCCAGCCACACTAATTATAATCTTATCCTCTGGCAAATCAGCAATATACAGATAGCTCAAATGAATAAATAAATCCAAATCCTTGAACAATACCCTGCCCTTTAATCCTACTCCCTGCTTAAACATATATCTCCAACTTTCCTCAACCAAGATCTACATGTACCTCACCTTTCTTTCCCTATTCTGTACCTTCCCCCTTTTCCACAGGGAGATGCTAGGTGATTTTGAAAGCTCTTCCCCCAATGCAAATCAACATGTGTGACTTTTCCCTAGCATGGAAATGTAGTCATGGAAATGCGGTGGGAAGTGAGTTGTTCCAGATGCATCTTCTGGCTATTGTTCATGCACTGTACAGTACACAATGTCCCCAGCACTTCAGCAGTTGGTGCAGGATGGGATGTCAACAAGACTGCTGAATCTAGGGATCATTTTTCCCAACTTCCACTCCCTCTTGAAGCCTAATATTTACTTTGTCCACCACTGTCTTTGTCATCTTCTGCAACAGTTGTTTGCTGTATCCATCCATCCCTTTTGCCAACATACCATTTTTTGCTTAGCCCATATACTCACCCTGGGGCTACTGAGGGGACTAGAAGATAAGCCAGTGGAGGCACCACTTACAGATTGAGACCTGTGGGGGGCAAACCAAATATGAGGATTAGTGTTGTCTTGGAAGGGAAGAAGGTGGTGAAACACAGAGAAGAGGATGGGATACATGTGAAATAACTCTCTAAAATAGCATTACAAAACCTTTTCAGCGCCCCCCCCCCCCCCCCCCCCCAGTCAAAGATACCCTAAAGAAGTGAATAAGCCTAAAATGTTTTGGATACCACCAGCAGAGAACAGCAAAGAATTGCAGAATATATACTGTATATCCTGAAATTCTTTGTTGTTCTCTGCTAGTGATCTTTGCTGTACTTGCTATACAATATACAGTATATACTTAACACACAATGTTTCATTTTATATAGAGTAGGTCTGCATTTTGGATACATTATGCAAAGACCCAGCTCTCTGAAGAAGCCGCAGATGCTAGGAAAGATGGAAGAAAAGAGAAAAAAGAAGACAACCAGCAGGATGGACTCAGTAACAATGGTGATGGGTGCACAATTTGAAGGTTGGGACAAATTGTTCTGGAGAAGATCAATCTATGTCAGGGCTGTCAAACTCCCGGCCCATAGGCTGGATGCATCACATGCTGGCCATGCCCACACCTGGTTTAGCGAAGGGGGGGAAAGTCCCAATACATCATGTGACGCCACCATGACGACGTGAGTTTGACACCCCTGGTCTATGTGGTTATTAAGTAAAAAAAATGACTTGATGGGACATTATCAAGCAATCAAAATCTGCACAGTAAGAGAATATTAAAATATGCCAGTGATTTAGGCTAGACAAGGAATCAAAAAAGTATTGAAAGAAAGTAGTAACAAACTACAGATAGTCCTCAAGTTGCAAAGTTACAACAGCACTGAAAAAGGGACGTATGACTGCTTTTCACACTTACAACCATTTCAGCATCCATATGGTCATGTGATCAAAACTCAGGTGCTTGGCAACTGACTCATATTTATGACAGTTGCAGTGTCCCAGGGTCATGTGATCACCCTTTGCAACCTACTGATAAGCAAAGTCAATGGGGGAAGCCAGTGGTGGTATTCAAATTTTTAAACAACCGGTTCTGTGGGTGTGGCTTGTTTGGTGGGCGTGGCTTGGTTGGTGGTCATGGCTAGGTGGTCATGTGACTGGGGTGGGTGTGACTAGGTGGCCATGTGACTGGCAAACCAAATACAAGTGGTCCTTGTTGAGGTAATTCCCCGTTAGGAGAATGAGCGCATACAGGGAGATGTATTTGAGATAAGTGTTTGAATAATACACACACAGCACACAGATACTGCTCCCCTTTTGGGGAGGACAATATATATAACCTTACATTCTAAGTCCATAATCTTCACAGCAAGCCTTATGCTTTATAGAGCCTTGGGCCTTTGCAAAATGATCTGCTATATTGTTTTCTGACATACAGTATTCCAGCTTAATCATCTTACTTTGCACACATTGTCTCACATTTAAATATCTTAAATCTGTGTGTTTCGTTCTTGTCTTAACAGCAATATTTGAAGCCATCTGTATTGCTGATTGGTTGTCTTCGTAAACAACAATAGAATCTGTTACATCAATTCCCATGTCAATTAGTAGTTGCTTATACAAAACTAAATCTGTACATAATAAAGACAAACATGAGAATTCAGCCTCCATTGTTGACAAACTTAGATGTTTCTGTCTAATAGACCTCCAACCAATCAACACTTTTCCCAATAATACTACAGTACCCGATGTAGATTTAGGTGTATTTATGTCTGTAGCAAAACTTGGATCAGCATATGCAGTTAAACTCAGTTCATCTTTTGGCTCCAAATACAATGCATAATGCATTGTTTGTTTCAGATATCTTAACACATGTTTAGCAGCTTGCCAGTGCCTTTCAGTTGCCTCAGCGTTAAATCTCGCTAATTGATTAACACTGTATGCAATATCTGGCCTTGACCAATTACTGAGATAAGATAAACTACCAATCAAGGACTGATAAATGTTCTTATCAAAAATAGGACTTTGAACATCACTATGGCTAAATTCCTGGCTCATTGGTGTCTTAGCTGGTTTACAAAGTTTCATTTTAAAACTTTTTAGTAATTGGTTCATTTTATCTGCCTGTGAGATTTTGTATCCTCCCCTAGTTCTATCTATCTTTAAACCAAGATATTGTTTAATTTCTCCTAATTTTTTTATTTTAAATTTCTTTTCCAACAGTGAGATTATTTTAGTAGCTTCTTGTTCAGTTTTGGTGATTAATGCTATGTCATCAGTAAATAATAGCAACAATGAAATTACACCATTACTTTCTCTTTTAAACAAACATGGATCAGCCATGCCAGCTGCAAAGCCTATCTTAATTAATTCTTTAACTATACTTTGGTTCCACTCATATCCTGATTGCTTCAAGCCATAAAGACTCTTTTTCAATCCCCAGCAATCATTATTATCAGTATTTTTGAGACCTAAAGGTTTCTTTAAATATATAGTGTGTTGCAATGGTGCATGCCGATATGCCGTTTCTACATCCAAATCATAATGTATTTCTCCTTAGCTGCCCACACTAATGCTGCCCTTAATGTAGTAGCCTTCAGACTAGGTGCAAACACCTCATCATAATCATTTGCTGTCTGATTGAACCCTTGTGCTACTAACCTGGCTTTATGGGTAACAGTCTCATCTACACCTGTCTTTAGCTTATATATCCATTTACATCCTATAGCATGTTTACCTGGTGGTAACTTAACATTTTCATATACCTCCAACTTTTTTTAATGATTCTAGTTCCTTATCCATTGCTTCCTGCCAAGCAGCCTGATCCTTAGCAGGATACAGTTTCAGTTCACTATAGTTACTTGGAACTGTATTCACTTGGCATACAACACTAGCCTGATATCTATCAGGTGGTCATGTTACTCGGGTTGAACATCTTGGTAATACAGGGCTAACTGCTGCTCCTGTTTTTCTACCTCCTCCTGTGACTGTTCTCCTACTTCCTCCTGTGCTTCCTCTTTAATGGCTATTCATGGTTTACTTATTTCATCTTTATCCCTAAAGATGGGTGTCAATAATAATATAATTGCTGGATTCCTGTTCCAGTTTATCCCACCCAACGTGCTCAAGAAATTTTGCATTAGCACTACAATAAACATGAGCTGTGTCTTGATCCCAAAATCTAAACGATCTATGGTTGGCCTCATAACCCACAAAAAATAACTTCTTAGCTCTATGTTGCCCTTTCAGTCTTACTTGTGAGGGAATATGCACCCATGCTGGAGCTCCAAATGTGTGTCGGTAACTTAAATTTGGTTTTCTGCCATGCCAACAAGTGAATGGCAATTCTCCAGTTGTTGTATTAACTATATTGTTTAACACATGATTGCTACACATTATGGCCTCACCCCACAGTGTTTCAGGGAAACCTGAATCAGATAATATAGTGTGAGCCATGGCTTGTAATGTTTGCCCTCTTCGTTCTACAAACGAGTTATGTTGTGGTCTGTAAGGTGCAGAACGTTTATGCTCAACACCAGCCAATTTCAGCATAGTTTGGAATCTTTTGTTAACAAACTCAGTCCCATTATCAGTAACTAAAGTTATTACTTTACTTTTCATTTTTCTCTCAGCAAACCTTAGCCAGTTAAAGAAATGTTGGAATGTTTCTGTTTTGTTTTTCATAAGAAACCGTATCATGAGGAATGGTCCATAATACTCAAAATATAGCAGGTACCTCCTAAACTTGGTTTCTTAGGACCAATTATGTCAGCAAAAACAACCTCTAAAGGTTCTTTGGTCTTAAACCCATTAAGTCTGTTTGCAGGAGTAACCTTACTTTTCTCCTGGCTACAAGCATTACAGTTTAAATACTTGCTACAGGGTTTCAATTTTACTCCCTCTGACAATTCAACAGTTTGTTTGAGCATTTTGAAATGAATGTGCCCTAGACGTCTATGTAGCAAATGTATACATTCATCATGTGGCTTAACATTGTTATAAACTGAGTTAGCCATCTTCAACTGGTCATCATGTATTACATATAAATCATTTTTTAAAGTAGCAGTAACACTTTTACCCTCTTTCTCTATTATACAGTTATGTCCCCTAAAGGTTACAACATAACCAAGATTAACTAAAGCCCTTACTGATAATAAATTAAATTTCAGTTTAGGTACATATAACATAGTTAAATGTTCGTTTATGCAAGAACAATATGCAGTACCTTCACCTGATGCGTTCATCTTCCATCCATTTGCCAATGATACATGTTGTTTACTCGTAGACATCTTTACAAACCTCTTTCTATCTTTAGTAATGCATTGCGATGCTCCACTATCAACAATCCACAAATGGTTTACAGTTGAATTGCTAGACATAGCTAAACTAACATTCTTCTTAGCCTTCTGGTGTTTACTAGTATTCTGTTGTTTTCCCTTCTTACAGAATCTAGCTATATGTCCCCTAGCCCCACAAGAAAAAACATTTCCTAACAGTATAGGCAGTTGAAGACAAATCCTCTTCTTGTGGTTGTTCCTTCCTCAGTTGGTTCCTATCCAGCCGTCTTCTTGCTTCTTCTAATAACCTTCCGGTTATGTCAGTCAATGTCAGTTTATCTCTGGTCAGGACTTCCAGTGAAGATACATAATCATCATAACTTTCATCCAATGAGGAAAGAATGATGTAAACTTGATGCAGCTCTGAAAATATCAGTTCCTTTTTATGTAGCTCTTGAAAAGTTCTTTTCATGAAGTTCAAATGAGCTAACATATCTCCACCTTTCAGAAGACGTGATCTAAACAGTTTACGTGTACGATGTATGTGTACACCTACACTGTCACAAACATAAATCCTCTTCAAATTCTCCCAACACCAAGCAGCAGACTCTTCTCCACGAATATGGACTAGCTGCTGGTCACTCAGTGTTAGTCCAATTATACAAAGAGCTTGTTCATTGTTCTGTTTAAAGTCAGAAAACTTCTTGGCATCATCCTCATTATTTGGATCCCAAGCATTTACATCCGGTGGATTTTGAACTACATT